TTTGCTACCTTGAAATGACACCACCAAGCTTAGAACACTCACAAACAAGCTATGAACGAAGGAACAACTCTCTTAGGGGTTCTTTCTGAAGGATGGTGGCTGAGGAGCCGATCCATCTCATTCCTTTTATAGCCAACCACAAAATTACGGTTTTTGGGTCTGGACCGGTTACGCCCAGCGTAACCTTGGGTACACCCAGCATACCCGGGGGATGGTGCATTTAAATGAGGCGCGCGAGTACGCGCAGCGTACTCCTTGTACGCCCAGCGTACTTGCCCAACACAAAAGCCCAAAATGACAATATATCAAAAGATGAAGGGCTAATTAAAGGTACCTAAATTTCGGGCTGTTACAGTAGATTTAGCTATAAACACTTGTAAATGACCTAGTACCACCAAAACACATAAGGAATGGGTATGAGGGGGATTACGGCCGTAAACTCCTAGTTTACACCGTACACTCCATTAAATGGTCCACAAGTGAGTTTAATCCATTCCTATGCCCTAAATTTGATCCTAGCTAATTTCCCCAAGTGATATTTGACCATTTAGCACCATAAAACCCCTCACCCATGAGTTCACGGCCATGAACTCATGTGGAGTTGGTCTTAGGGCCGAAAACTCCATAAGGAGTTTACTCTCGAAGAGTAAACACATTATCCAAGCCATATACGTCTGTAGATGTCACCCGGGTCACTCCATACACTTGATTTGAAGTGTTTTCGCGTCTTGGAGTGTCTAATTAGTAATTTAAAGTCTAATTAGATACATTTGTATATCATTTCATATTACATAGTGACCTCGCGCGTTATCAAGCCCAGAACCGACACTTAGCATCCAATCTGACGCGTTTCTCGACCGGTGAGTTCATACCCCTACCCTTTTTCAAATGTTTTCGGGGGGGGGGGGAATACAAGCAAAAGTACAAGGAAATCTTGTACTCAAACTTATTATTTTCAGTTCAAATGTCTATATTCTGTATGTTTTTAATATCGCAAATTGTGTTAAATCAAATAGTTCGAATTACGAAGATAGCTTTCAGACTAATCATAGATTTCTTGATAAGGTGTTACAATCTAAATTATATTTCATAATCTACGAATAATTCATACTAATCATCAATTAGAACTAATACGAATACGAATACGAAAGTACAACTAGGAACAGAACGAATACGAAAGTACAACTAGGAACAGAACGAATACGGAAGTATAACTAGGAATAGAACGGATAGAAATACTAAAGTAATAATGCGAAGGTAATAATACGAATACGAATACGAATGCGAATACGAATACGAATACGAATACGAATAGGATTAGGAATAGGACTAGGAATACGAATACGAATGCGAATACAAAATACGAATACGAATAGGATTAGGAATAGGACTAGGAATACGAATACGAATGCGAATACAAATACGAATACGACTGCGAATACAAATACGAATAGGAATATAAATACGAATACGAATACAAATAAGATTAGGAATAGGACTAGGAATACGAATACGAATGCGAATACGAATACAAATACGAATAAGATTAGGAATAGGACTAGGAATACGAATACAAATGCGAATACGAAGAGGAATAGGTATACAAATATGAATACGAATACAAATATAAAATACGAATATGAATATGATTAAGAATAGGAATACGAATATGAAGGCACGCATCTAGGTACATTCAAGTGTAACACAATTAGGATATCAGAATACCTAGCTAATATAACAAGTATGAAAGATAATTAAACATTACATTGGGATTCAACAACTAAACTTACTTTTAGGAAAATATAGGATTTTCCTGGGATAACAATTGTACATAACCAGAATCATGTAACAAAATAGTTAACTAAACTTTACATAAAGAAAATATGAGATTTTCTTGGATAACAAACTTTTCAGAAAACCAAAGGAAACTTGTACATTTTCCGAAAACAAACCTCTTATGAACTCACCAGCTTTATGCTGATTTTCAAACTGCTTGTATTCTCAGGTCCGTATTAGATAGGTACCCGCGATCTTTTGGAGAAGACGGAGCGTACAGAAGACTCGTCTTAACTTTTGTTCATATATACATATGTATAACACTTGTAACACTTTACTATTGAACAGATATAAATTCTAATATGTAATGTAATGCTTGTTTGCTTTGCTTACTATGTACATTGGTTGTGATACTTAACATGAAGTCACCTCCGCCCCGGGACGTTTCCGCCTTTGGTTTCGGGGTGTGACAATTTTGTTATCCAATCTTCCAAACTCATATAAATTTTCTTCTTCCAGAGTATTTACTGCTACAGTTTCTTCTCGTGAACACTCTTCAACAGTATCTGATGCAATGTTGTCAACATTGTATACAATGTTGCCAACATTGTATGATACAATCTTGTCAACCGCTTCTGTTTGTTCGAACCATCCCTCAAACACCTCTAAATATAACTGCACAATCTCCTTCGTTTCAAACATTATGTTTTTGAATTGATGAACATTTGCTTCGTCTACAATATTCATAACATACCCTTGAACCGGATGTTGAAATAACAATGATATATTACTATTGAACGTATTAACCTTAGTTTTAACCAAATCAAACGATATCCGACGGTCAAAATTAGGTTGAAGTAGTAAACTTAAGTTGTTAAACTTTGGTCTAACGTAGGTGTTAATTTCATTACTCAACTGCCAAAACCACCCCATACATAAAATAACAAAACTCATATTTTCTCTGAAAAAATTTCCACCCTAAAAATGATCGGTTTTTTAAAATAAATCAAAAATTTTCTTTTGAATGACAAAAATTTCTTTTGAATTACAAAAAAAAAAAACAACATTAAAGACCAAACACATTCCACGGAGACCTTGTCAATATGCTATGCGGATGCTTAAATAATATGCTAACCAAACACTCCGTGGAGGGTTTAATGTGTCTTTGGAGCCCTCTATGGTCTGGTCTGTACAAAATGTTTGAAAAGCATACAAAATCAATCGTTCTGCTGTGATTTTATGATTATGTGGAGTTCGTATAACACCCCTCTACGAAAGCGTATGTCTATACATGAAATTTTGCTTTTTTATGAATAAATTTTGAAATCCCAAAAAAATTGGCTATAGCCACAGTATTTTCCAAACACTAAATCTATGAAATAATAATTTAATATCTTGGAAACGAAAAAACACCTTTATGTGCACAAACATCTTTTATACATGTTAAAGCGAGCTTAGGTCCCATCCCGCCCCTAGCACCTTCTCCTTCCATTCGAATCTGTCTTTCCAACGCTTCTCCACAAGCACCAATTGCAGCTCTGCTATAGAACACAAGAACAAAAATGGCGGACTGGGGACCCGTATTGATTGGTGTAGTACTCTTCATTCTATTGCAGCCGGGACTCCTTTTTCAATTACCCGGAAACGGTAAGCAGGTGGAGTTTGGGAGCATGAAGACCAACGGCAAAGCAATCGCTGTTCACACTCTCATCTTCTTCACCATCTATTCCATCCTTATCCTCGCCGTTCATGTCCACATCTACACCGGCTAAACACCGCCGCACCTCCTCCGTATAAATCAGGTTCTAATCGCTGTTTTAAATCTAGAGATCTGTACTGTAATAGTTTTATTCTACTTGTAATTTTATCAATAATCTGTTTCTTTTCGATGGATGTTTCGATTTGGTTATTGATTTATCAGCTGCGTTTAGATCTGGGTTTTCTTTTGCTGGTTATTGTGTTTTTGATTCGAGTGTTAGTGAAGTTGAGATGTATAATGCATGTGGTACAACTTGTTGTTGCTATGACATCAAGAACTTTGTAGAACCGCTTAACTCGCAAAACCTTTTCTATTTTTGGTATTTTTCGACAGGACAGCACCGACGGATAAACATCGTTTGACGGTGGCAGGTAGTGGGCATACGTAAAACCGAAGAGGTTTTAGGCTTTCCATTGCAATTGATTAATCTTTCTTTTCAAATTTCACTCCATATATTCATATCATCAAAGTTTTGTTGGACGAACGGGAATTCATTTGGAAATTGATTGATTTTGGTAACGACGCATGGAATGATAGGAAAGTTATTAAGACAATTTTTGTCTCACACTATTGCTGGAAATGAACCAACCGAACAAGTGCCGGAACAAGTAGGGTTTGTCGTGGAGACCTGTATACCAACTTAGATCGTATGAACACTTATCGAACTGATATTTATATCCTATGCCTGAGTTACAAGAAATTCAGTCTAGGATGATCTAATAGGACACTTATGATTCTAGGCACAGAAATCGTAAGTCAAAGTGCTAGATAGATTTCGTGAGTGTTTGAAGAAAAACGAGAGTTAATTTTCGTCTGGCCCTTCTAAAAGGAAGAGCAGTTTATATGTAATAAACGAGATTAGAGTTTCATTAGGGTTGGACCGTCATGAGTTCATTTGGAAGCGCATCAGGGTAATCCGGATTTTAATAAGGATTTAGGGTTTTCAAAACTAACAAGTTTTGTTAGTTTTACCATAATCACCCTCAACAATTTGAATTTCCCACTATGTTTCCATTTGTAAAATTCAGAGAGGTTTTGGGGTGCTACCCAAAACCCAGCTAGGGCTTGGACCCCACTAGGGATGCTACCCTAGACCCCGCCAAAGGGGCGCCGCCCCTTTGAAAACCATGGATCCAGGACGCTACCCCCGGACCCCCGACTTGCCGTAGAACCAGCTTCTAAATTGATCTTATACATGCGTGTACTTCGCACAAACCCCATACATATATTAGAGTACAAATTATGAAGCCCTTTAGCTTGCATGTTAGTGTAAGCCTTGAACAAACATAACCTTATCAAAGTAAACTTAAACTAGTACGTAATGAAAATATCGAAACGGTTGAATTTCCACTTAGTATCATACATTTGCAAATACTCGAGAATCAGAGTGTTCTAAGAATTGAACCCATTAACATTTGAATACCAGAAAGTAAAATACATACTAGTTTATTGAATTTCTAGCAAAATACAACTTGACACTATTATAAACTTGTGTGTCCCAATCCTCTCATGATCATATCAAGGTTAAGTCCACAACCTCTTGAAATGCGGCTACACTTCACAATCATGTAGGTAACTCCTTTCCATGTATCTGCACATACATTTATCAAATGAATTATTAAGAAGTTAAACTTCAACCTGGCTAACTTGTAGAACCGAACACATACTTGAGATGAATACTCAGTGTGTTCCAATCTATAAGTATAAGCTTTCCACATTGAGTTCAACTCCTAACATTATATTAGGAAGGAATTAAGTGTCTCATCATTACAAAATTAAATGGACTTTAGTCCATCCCGATAACAGACTTGTGTACTAAGTCTCTTGTCATACCTTTAGTTATGCAATCTGCCAAAATTTGTTACGATTTCACAAACTCAATCGAAATTACAACATTAATGATTAACTCTCTAAGGGAGGACGGAGTCGTTTCTCTCCTCCCGCCGAAGTCGCCGAACCCACTGTGGAGGGAGTCGAATCCGCCCAAACCGGATGCCTCCCAACTCGTCTTCCCTAAATTCTTGCTTTGGTTTCAACCTCCAGTGGGTTCCTCAAGCCGCAACACCCCTCTCTTTCTCTCTTGCTCTCCTCCCACTCCTCCATCTACTCATTGAACCCGTTACAACTCCGTCTTCCCTAATCATACTATGTCTGACACCTAGGTGTCTAGACTTGCCATTATAAACCTGGCTATATACCTTAGCCAAAGTGGTTGCACTATCACAAAAGGATAGAAATAAGTGTTATCGGTTTAGACCACAAAGGAATCTCATAAACTAAATTCCTTAGCCACTCTGGTTCTTTACCGGCAATTGCTAACACAACAAACTCAGTTTCCATTGTCGAGTTTGTAATGCAAGATTGCTTATTGGTAGCCCAAGAAATGACATCTCCCCTAAGCAAGAATACCCAACCAGAAGTTGACGACTGGTCCTCAATGTTGGTTATCCATCTTGCATCCGAATGACCTTCTAAAACCAAAGGACTCCCCAAGTAACTCAAACCATAATGCACGGTTCCCTTGAAATACTTAAATACTCACTACTTGCCAATGTTGAGCACTAGGATTACTAGTGTACCTGCTCAACTTATCCACAACAAAAGCAATATTAGGTCTGGTACTTGTCATGTCATACATCAAGCTACCAATAACCTTAGAATATTCCAATTGTGAAATGGGAACACCATTATTTGGCATTAGCTTCACACTTGGATCTATATGACTCATCACAGGAGAACAATCGGTAAAATTAAACCGCTTGAGAATTTTGTCAATATAATGACTTTGAGTCATTACCAAACCTTTTTTACATCCTTTTAATTCTTATTTCAAGAATTGCATCAGCCTCTCCTAAATCTTTAATGGAAAACTTCGATGATGACAATTTCTTTGTTTCATCTACTTGATTTTGGTCGCTACCAAAGATTAACATGTCATCTACATATAGACAAATGATCACTCCGACTTTAGTAGCATCATCAAATCTACTATAAACACATTTGTCACATTTGTTTGTCTTGAAAGTAGAGGACAAAATAACATCATCAAAATTTTGATGCTATTGTTTAGGCGCTTGTTTAAGCGAATACAAAGATTTGACAAGTTTACAAACCATATGCTTTTTACTGGGAATAATGAAACATTCTGGTTGTTTCATGTAAACTTCCTTGTCAAGATCACCATTTAAAAAGACTCTTTTCACATCCATTTGGTGAATAAACAGATTATGGATACTTACCGAAGGCAATCAACAATCTAATAGTAGAAATATGTGCAATTGGAGTATACATATCAAAATAGTCAACGCTAGGTTTTTGTCTAAAACCTTGAATGACTAACTAGGCTTGGAACTTGTTAATAGTCCCATTAACTTTTTTTTTTTTTTTTTTTTTTTTTTTTTTTTTGTGAAAATACATTTGCAACCAAGTGGTTTAGAACCTTGAGACAAATCAGACAACACCCATGTATTGTTTTAAAGAATTAATGACATTTCATCATCAATTGCTTCCTTCCAAAAGGCACTATCACGAGACTCTATAGCCTCTTGATATGTCTTAGGATCATCTTCAATACTATAGTAATAAGAGTCTTCAAGTTTAATTTCATCCTTTGAACTTTCCACCAAATACAGTCGGAAGTTGAATCCAAAAAATTTCGCAATTTGGCCTCTTTTGCTTCTACGAAGCTATTGTGGTTCTTGTACTTTACTACCATCTTAACTTTCTGAATTTTGCACTTTATTAGTACCAAAAGTTAGATCCTCGGGCCTTTGAATTGATGAAAAACATATCTCATCAAAAATTGCATCTCGTGATTCGATAATGGTGTTAATCGAAACCGAATCATTTGGTTTTATTACATAAAACTTATATGCATTGAAATGTTCAACATATCTAATGAATATGCAATCAATTTCACATTCTCCCAAAAAATTCTTTTTGGGCTCGGTGAGTTTTACAACTGCACAACATCCCCAAACCCGAAAATAACTCAAATTCAACTTTTTTTTAACCAAAGTTCATATGAGACTGTTTTGTTCCTTTTATTTGGAACCCTATTTAATAAATAGTAGGCTGTTAACATAGCCTCTCCCCAGTATCTTCACTCAATCCCGAGTATGACAATATCGAGTTTACCATTTTCTTTAAAACTCAACTTTTGCGTTCAACAATACCATTCTGTTGGGGGTGTGTAAGGTGTTGTGGTCTCATGAACGATACCCACTGATTGGAAGTATATGGGATCCATATATTCACCTCAATATCAATCCTAAGATATTTAACAGGAATGCCCAATTGCAATTCAACATCGGTTTTGTATATTTTAAATTTATCTAAGGCTTCACCCTTAGAATGTAACAAATACACATAGCAAAACTGAATGTAACAAATACACCTAGCGGGACCCCTGCCAAGAGCTCTGCCCCTAAACCCCGCCAAAGGGGCGCCGCCCATTTGGAAACTCTGGCCCAGGGGCGCTGCCCCCGGACCCCCGACATGTCGTCGAACAACTTCTAATTTGATCTTATACATGTGCCCACTCCGCACAAACCCCGTACATATACTAGAGTATAAAGTATGAAGCCCCTTAGTTCACATGTTAGTTTCAGTTAAATAAAATGACATGGTAACACTAAAATCACCAACAACAATGACTTGTTTATGTTCATTCGTTTAGTTAACGGAAACACACAACGAATACAAACGGGTTTTCTTATTAATATTGGTTTGTTTAACTAATTACCTTGTTTATTTCCGTTTGTTTATGTTTGCGAACATGCTAAACGAACATAGATAAATAAACATAATTGAACATATATAAACATAAACGGATATATAATATAGCAATGTAATCAAACACAATTAAACATATAAAAACATAAAAGGAACTTAAATGAACACAAATAATTGAACGAACGAGACTATTTTTCATGTTCGTTTGTTTAGTTAAACGAACGAGGATTTGTGTTTATGTTCGTTCATCTATTAAATAAGCAAACATAAACGAACGTTCCACCGAACGATTCACAAACAATTCGATAAACGTTTGGTCCGGTCCTATGTCATACAACATGATAATGCTTTAACTAACACAATACAACATGACATGATGTCATTATTTTATTTTACTAATAAGAAAACCGTCAATTAAAAAACGACATGAAACGAGAAAGATAACATAAAAGAACTATTATTGTAATTAATCCATACTTAATCATACACAATACCAAAAACACTGTGTGTGTGTGTGTGTGTGTGTGTGTGTGTGTGTGTGTGTGTGTGTGTGTGTGTGTGTGTGTGTGTGTGTGTATATATATATAGGTTCAGGTTCATTTGAGACCATTCTTATTTTGTGAGACCGTGAGACCAAATCTAAAAATAATTTTAAAATGCAAAATAAAATAGATGGAAATCATGCACGCCCGTTAGCGCTGAGTCATATTTTTTTTTTTTGTTCTTTCAGGTTCTATATTTGACTTGTATTAAAGAAGAAGTGGAGTTCAGCCACCCACAAACAATAAAATATCGATAACTTAAGCATCGGATGACCTAATTCTCCATTTGATCCACTAATGATCTTGTTCGCTGATGCCTAAACAACCAATGAGAATATGATTAGGCCAAAGTGAAGGAAATAACAACATACCTTACTCTTTTTACCAATATATAGACAACATACTTTATTTTTCTATCATAATAACAATGTACTTATATTTTTACCAATAACAATGTGCGCTTTACTCTTTCCCTTGAATATTCTTCATTCGGTTTCCTCTTCTATCCACTAAAACAAAAAAAAAGTCAAATGATTTTCTCTTTATTTCTTTAAAACAGTTAAGTATAATGACAAAAGTACCCTCAAAGAATTTTTTTTGCTAACATATACAAATCAATAAGCAAAGTGACTATTATTTTTTTAATTTGGTTAACTAAAATAACTAAAGTTGATGTGAGATCAAAAACCTTCAACAATATCATGATTGGTCATGATAGTCTTTATTTCTTTAAATAAAACTCTTCCTTTCTTAACATCTTCAACAATATCTATATTGCTTCTTCTTGTAGACGAGTTGTCTATCTTTTGGTTTTGAGTGGAGTAGAATGTCAATCTCTCTTATATTTTCGTTTTGAGTGTTGACATTGGCTGCATTTCTGGTGATGTAGTTTCATCCAATGTTGTCTGCAAGCTAACATAGGTAAAGTTATATAGCATTCGTAGTTTTACCTCTAGAATTAGAAACTTACATATCCAAGATAATGTTAAAAAGGTGAAAAAAATATCCAATTCATATAATAAAACTCCAATTAAAAAAAAAAAAACCCACTAGGACTAATTCCATATATGCCATTTGGGATGTTTTTGAAATGCTTCACATAGATTCCCTTTTCCTTTTGTCCCTTGGTGCTTGCTCGTCTACATATCGATCATTACATTCTTGTGGTTTTAACATTATATTTATACATCATACATGTACAAACACAAAGAAAAAAAAATTGAATTTGAAAATAATATTAATTAAAAAGAAGCAAAATACCTGTAAACGACAGTTATTCTATCAAATGTAGGTTCTTGTATTGTGATCTTACTCATCAAACTCCGTAAACTGATATTTAAGTTCTCAATCTGGAACCTTTCAACCTACATATCATCGGGATATTGGTAATTTGTAATTTAATCATCTTTCTTTTAATCATTTATAACTCGTGCACTGGGTTTTTTAGAAAAAAGTTTTTCTATCCTGCAACCATAATCAGGAATTGGACACCAACAAACTCTCTATATAAATAAGTAAAATTTGTAAGCAAACTTACCTTGTTATTCTCATAATCCATCCCCATAAACGGTTGATAATGATGTCCACTTTCTCCATGATGAAGTAGTCAGTAGTCTTATCAAGTCCAATGCCTCTCCGGAATATCACATACTACAGAAAAATATTTGTATAAAAAATAAGATCAAACATAGTTTTTGTATTCATAGTGATGTGCATAGTATGAAGCATCAAAAAGACTAATATATCCCTGAACCTTATCAACAAAGTCAGGAAGGTTATCATGGTCATGTTATGCAAAGTACCACTTTAGAAGATCTTTATCAATGTGCATTTAGAGGGGTAAAACAGGAAAAGGAGAAGATATTTTATCATACACGGAGACAATGATAATGGCACTTAAAGGAGGTATGTATGACTGCATCAAACCTTTGATTCATCAACTGTCATAGGAAGGTTTAAAAGATACTGCCCAGATTGTGCAACATCAATCTCCTCATTAGTGCAGATCTTAAAATTACTCTTCACCATCACCTTAAACATATATGACAAAAAATTCTGTTGAAGAACATCAATTACTTGTGATGATAGGTTCTGCTGCTCCAACTTATGTGCCCCTTGGACATGATCAAAGAGGGAATATAATTGTTGCAAGTATGTCAACCATGGAAACGAAAAGTGACACTTTAATAAAAAACCTAAAAGTTTGAAATTGGGAAAGGTATTATAGAAAAAATCGATAAAAGTAGATAATAGTACCATGAGATCTTCAAGTTGAAGAAGATACCATGCTCGAATGGTGTACTCAACGCTCTTGCAAAGCTTCAAAAACTCTGCCTGATCAGAATTGTGCTCTGTAATATTGAAGTTTGTTTGAAGCTTGAAAAGTAACATAGAAGTTTATGCAAGCTGATTAAAAAGTCAAGTGAGCCCTAATACACCGGTGGTCTCCCGAAAGGATCTCCTAGGCTAGCCACTTCAAAAACTCTAGACCTATATATGTTTAGAACTAATGCTCCGGTATCCAGCCAAAACTAAACACCCTAGAAACTAAAATACGAATTTGAAAAGAAAATTGAGTGTAGAACATTGTAGCATAACCATCAATAAATATTACAAGAACAGACTATAGATAAATGGTGTTGTTAGTGTTACCACTTACCAATAAGATTAGCCAAAGTTATGATGAGTCTAGGCTTCAAAATTGGGATAACCGCCTCATGCTCCAATCGAATCTAACCTTATTGAAGTGGGACAATCTGTAATCAGGCAATATTTAAAGGCATTCCCAATGATAGATTATATCCCCAAACGCACCAAGCGAATAGTCTCCACCAAAATATACTGATGAGTGTTGATAATTGATATATGATTTGTTTTAAACATGTAAATTAAACTTGGAGAGGAGAGAGAATAGTGTAGTGTATCCCACCATAACATAGCATCGTAATCATTTTTATGCAAAACTTTATTTGTAGGAGGTATTTCATCGAACACCTTTTGTGCATTCTCAAACTAACTCTGATTTTCAATACCAATTAACCTAAACACTGCCCATAAACAGATTTATATTAACTTTGTTGCACAAACCCAATATCGGGAAATGAATAAGAGGAAATTACTGAATTACCCCAAGCGTATGTATTGCTATAAACAACATTAACGTGCATGAAAGAGCCAAAATATTTTTTTGGTGTTCTTGAAAACGTAGTATCATTTTTTGTCTCACAAGCTGCTATTTTTCTATATATATATTCACCCCAAATCTGATGTTATTTCTCATCCTCGATCAACAACATTCAATCTTCTACTCTCAATTAAAACAATTAGTGTAAAAACATGGGAAAAGCTCAATTTGATCAACATTCAGAAGATCAGATGTTGAAAACAAAAAACAAAAAGATGGTGGATTCTCTAAAGGCTTTCGATGCAATCTCTATTCCGATGGGAGTCTTCTTTACTGTTTTCTTCTCGGTTTTTATTACCTTCTGATCAGATGGCGTGAGAGGATCAGAAACTCCACTCCTCTCCATGTCGTCAACATGTCTGAAATGGCTACCATCATCACCTTCTTCGCCTCATGTATCTACCTTCTTGGATTCTTTGGTATGAACTTCGTCCAAGCTACACCATTTAAAGAAATAGAGGAAGAAGACGAAGTAGAAGAAGAAACAACTCCCTGTGGTGCTTCCATTATTCGCGCATCTGATATCGTATATGTAAAAGAATTCATGAAGAAAGAAGTGGAAATAGTAATCCTAGTAACATATACAGTTGTTACGGATGAAGATGAAGAGGTGATACAAGTAGTGGTTTGGAATCGAACTCACTGTAGGCGTTGACACAATCGTTCCATTATTCGCGAATCTGATATCGTATATGTAAAAGAAGTCATGAAGAAAGAAGTGGAAACAGTAATCGTAGCAACAGATACAGTTGTTACTGAAGAAGATGAAGAGGTGGTACAAGTGGTGGTTTGGAATCGAACTACTTGTAGGCGTTGACACAATCGTTCATGAGTCAACTATAGAACTTTTCCGGTTCGTTTTTCATGTTAATTTCAGTATTCAAGAACAATTCATACGTTTTTCAAAATCCAAATTACAAATAGTTTGTTCCAAAACAACAAAAATCAGGAAGCATAACAAAAGGAAAACCTTATAGTGAAGGGGAACACCGGTGATAGGAGTAACACGCTTTTCTCGAGCTTCATCGGTGTGGGATGGGGTCGGCAGAGCTGTGTTTGTCGGCGACCAATGGCACACGCCTTGGAGGAGCGATGGGTGTTCTGTGTAGGATTTGTGATTGGAGCAAAGATGAGCGTTCGTCATACTGAGTTGAAGAAAACCATCGAAATCGGAACCTACGAAAGGAATCACAAATCTACGGAAGCCATCAAAGGAATGAAGAGAAAACAACGAATAACACAACAGGATGAAATTGGAAAAAAAAATTGAGATAAGAAGAAAGAGGCGAGGTCAAAGGCGGTGGAGAGGAATTGTGGCGTTAAAATGAGAATAAGAACTTCCGTGTCCAAATATGAAAGAGAAAAAAAGTTCATGTTCATCAGGTTTTTAACGATTAATAGTATACATAATGGAAAAATCCAAAAATTCTTTTTTATATATTATTTTCGGAACTTGAATTAACTAAAAAAAAAAATCCCGTTTTTTTTTTTTTTGAAAAATACGTGAAATATTCTAATAGAATATTACACTAACATTTTCCAAAAAAAATAATTTTAAAATGCAAAAATAATTGAAAAAATCTAAAAATTCTTTTTTTAAATATTATTTTCGGAACTTGAATTAACTAAAAAAAATCCATTTTTTTTTAAATACGCGAAATATTCTAATAGAATATTACATTGTACATATTCTAAAAAATAATTTTAAAATGCAAAATAAATGGAAAAATCCAAAAATTCTTTTTTTAAATATTATTTTCCGAACTTGAATTAACTAAAGAACAAAAAATAAAAAATAAAAAAATGCGTCTCATGGTCTCACAAAATTAAACCATCTCACATGAACCTAACCATATATATATATATATATATATATATATATATATATATATATATATATATAATTTCATATTAAATATTAAACACATTTCAATTTTGTTCCAATTTTGTTTTGTATCATAAATAATAGTGTATAAAATGATTTCTAGAATAAACCATTAACTTATTATGGAAGCAACACAAAATGCACTATGATTGAACTATCACTTTAGTTCCTTGATTAATAGCAACCAATATTAATATGCAACTGCTTTAAGGATAAGAAGTTATAGGATCCCAAATAAAATTTCTCCAATGGAATACTTCAACTATAACAAAATCTTTCTTCGTTTGAGCCTAGCAAAATCGACCAAACCCTAGGGTTTGTCTTCTTGGAATTGTCGGCTAGGAAGGAAAGAGTGGTGAAAAACTTAGGTGATGTTTGGTTCGTTGGAATCCTTCAGAATTATTATTTTTATAATTTATATAATATATCTACTACAAAGACCACCCACCTATGCAACCACCATAGTTGTCGCCACAACCATAATAATTAGCACCCAACAGTATTGACACCACCACTATTTATTAATTTTGTAATTGATATAATATATCTTTACGTATAAATTATAAACCAAAGTAAATTTAAGCAAAAAATTAGAAGGGCAATTATTTCATTTTATATTATTCAATTTACATTTCCTCTCAATCAAACCAAACATAATATGAAATTGGATTACATTTCTTAACAAAGTCTAAATCATTCAAAAACATTTTGCAAACCAAATGCCAGGTTATATCAATGGTACAAATTCAATTATCTTTCTCCTTGGTCTCTAAGGTTTATTTGAATTATAATTATCTATTATTCAAATATGAAAATACTCAATAATTTAAACCTATGACTATATTCCATTATTACCCTCCTCTAATTAGTTTATAGTTATTTACTTGATAAATCACTCAATAACAAATTAATCTCTCTCAAATAAATACTCTCGATTTAAGGTTGAGCCATGTTTGTAATCTATATATGATCTTATAAACTAATTGTGTCACTAACACGTTGTTTCAGTAGACATATTTCCAACACACAACATTTGTATATTCGAACTCATAAATTATACATGGTATGTCTTCATGATAAGTACTTACTCTATGGACCTTTAGATTCAGTCTAACCCAAAGTTAGTGATCAAAATTTCTTTTGTTTTGGATATTTGTATAAACGTGAAACATAGAAATATTGTCTACTATGGCGTTCTTGATTATGTTTCCTAGTATGAAGTTGCGGTGACCTAAAAGACAGACTGTATAATTGAACGACTATCCATCCACTTCGAGTATAACAATCTTTCACTATCAAAACCGAATCATTAAGGGACCCAATTATATCACTTCTATCGATGATGATTAGAAGGAACAAATCAACTTCAACTACAAAGACTCGTACACCTTTGCCATGTCATACATGAGTGTACTATGCATTGTTGTCAATTATAGGCAACGTTGAAAGACATTAACGCACAAAAGTAAGTCATGTGTGTCTTAGTTTCGAGGAAAAAAAGATAATACCATCTTCCTTGTAGCAATATTCCATGAAGTAATTATGTAAGTGCAGTTTACTCTGGTACATGCGTGTAGTCGCATCTCTATGATATATCTATCTTTTTGTTATCACCTTACATTGGTCTTAATTAATTACTTCCATCCTATAAAGTATGATTAATTGTAGAGATTCTGAGTTGCTATTCAATGAAGTGTAAAACATGTAAAAATTAAAGGGAAAACTCCATAAAAATCCTTATATTTTGGTCTCATAATCGAGTTATTATATATATATATATATATATATATATATATATATATATATATATATATATATATATATATATATATATATATTTACTATCTTATAAAACAAATCTTACTATTTCTAAAAACAGATTGAATAAAATAATAATATTTTTTTTAAGACGTCTAAATCATTAAGCTAATTGTACAACTAATCACTAATAAAATAATATTAAAATTTAAACAAACTCCTATAAATCTTCTCTTCTAAGGTTTTGATAAGATCTTTTTTCATCCAAATAAATACTCAACACCTTATAATTTGGTCATTTCATGAATTTTCTTTATTTTTAATAAGACATGCTTCCTAAAACAAACTAATGATTGAATTGAAAATAATCATTCTCCATGGAAAAGAAATTAATTGTCGAAACAAACTATTTGTCATCCGCCCTCTGCGCGGGTAAACGGCTAGTGTGTGTGTATATATATATATATATATATATATATATATATATATATATATATATATATATATATATATTCAGTTAAGTCCCAAAAATCAGCAGTTGTATTTATTTTGACTCTTTCACCC